CAGCGACTTTTGCATTTTCATATTCAGTGCTGGCTTTAGGGGGCTGATTGTATTTCACTGAGAGCACTTTGTATCAGCACATCAAGGAGAGACATCAGAGTGAAGCGAAGGGACAAGAAATCACCAGATGTAAGTTTAAACTCTGTTTTGTCACTTGAGATTTAATGTTGTGTGTTTAAAGGTGGACAGCAAAGGAAAATCCAATATACAAATATATCCAATTATGCTGTTATTTGTCCTTCAGTACTTGTATTTAACATTTTGCATACAGAATCAAATTATCATCGTGAATTTAGCTTTTTCATTCACAATGTTTTATTTTTATCATTTGTAATTTAATCTGTAATTGCAAGTTTGCTTTTTATTGTGTTATGATTTTATTTTCTAGCTTCTACAAAATGTGGACACAATAAAAGAAACACCTGATGATATAATGCAATCGATTCAAATACAACCTTTGTAAGGCTCACAGTACAATGTTTAGCTTTCGATGACCTTGTGTCAGAGGTGTTTTGGTAGGTGTTATTCCTATTTGGCCAATCACTTTTACATTACTAATAGTTACAAATAATTATAATCATTATGATTGTTGCAGAAAAAAAACAGAACATTACAAGCTTCTTTACAGACTTTTTGATTCTAGATTGTTATATTGCACTATTTTTTCATTTGCATTTTACTTAAGTAAGTAACATCCAGTGGCTGAAAACAGTATGTATGAATGTCCAGTGTTTGGTCTGGTTTGACTATAATTTGCATATTTTCTACATTCCTTATATAACTTCCTATACTGCAAGGAGTGGTGCAGTTTTATGTATACCTTGGACAAGCAGTAAGTGTGTTTCATCCAACAGAGATAAGCTGTTAAGATCATTGTGTTTGGTTCACTGCACACTAAAATATCCGTTTCATCTAACAGAGCAAAGATGCAGTGGAGTCTGTTTCTGCTCATTCTGATGGGTAAGTGGGTCATCTTAACATCTGTACAGCAGTATACTGCAGCC